GACAGCTTGGCGAACTTTAAGAGTGAAATTTCTGCAGATCATTGTAAAAAAACACTGGATTTAGTAGTTGATAATGCAATCGATACAGTAAATAACAAGATCATAGACCTTTTACAGACCGTTGTGAACAAAGTATGTTCAAACAGAAAATTTTAGAAAAGAGAATAGTCAACTTTTTTAAAAGTCATGGTTCTATTTAAGGTTTTTTAATTTTTTTTTTTTTTTTAGATGTCCCCAGAAATAAGTAAATTTTTGATGGAAGGAGCAGAAGTTATTAACACAGACAATAGTCATTTGGACAATTTAATGTTATATTTGGATGAAAATCTTTGTACGTTGAGTAAGGAACTCAACGAAGAAAATTTCCAACGTACACTTGAGATTATAGTTGATCAAATAGCAACGATAATGTATAATCTTATACAAAATAATTTAGAGGTAAGCAATTTATGTCTAATGGTTCGAATGATAATATTAACTGTTTTTTGTTTACACATTTTGATAGAAAAAGAAACCACCCACATATTTTAAGAATCTAAGAGACAGTTTTCATATGTTGTTTGGATTTTTGAGAAAAGATAACACTACTGAATATAAAAGCGAAACAATTCATAAGCTAGAAGCACTAATGCATTTACACACATTGGATACTGTAGACCTTATACATGAATACTATTTAGAAAGACTTCAAAAACAAAAAGATATGGAAGAGGCTACCGAAGGAGTATTAACTGTTAAATTAATATTTATCAACGATGTTCTCAAAATAGACATACTAAATGCAAATGGAATTAAAGCAATGGACTCTAATGGTATTTAATTATAAGCATTATAAGTATAAGCAGTGTTGGGTAAGTTAGGTACTTTTAAAAAGTAATTAAGTTACTTAACTCGTTACTCAAATAAAATTGTAATTAAATTACTTAACTTTTCAAATAGAAAAGTAACTCATTACTTTCTAGTTACAAAAAAAAAAAATTTCTTGGCAATTATCTTCTGTAGGAAAAAATGAACAAGCAAATTCTTTATAAAACCTGTATAGTTAATAGGATCGAATAAAACTTAGTCTTCCACACAAGCTATTCATAGGAAACCTATTTAAAGGAATCAAATTAAATAATACATTAAATTAACTGTTCTCGTGATTTAGGTGCAATTGGACATTTCAAAACTATTGAAAAATGAATTGTGGGGAGTTAAGATTAAATATACATATATACATATTAGATTGGTGAACATAATAATACCAGCTTTAAACATATATTATATTGTTTTCAATTCACAATAGGTAGGTAGGACCTTAATAATTCGAAACTGTAACGCTTTTATAGAAATTACTTTTCAAAAGTAATTTCCATTACATTTTCGTTACTTGGAAATAATTCTAATGAAATTACATAACTGCGTTACAAGCAAAGTAACGCGTTACTTTTGTTACTGTTACTACCCAACACTGAGTATAAGTACTATACAAACCTGTATGCATTGGATGTATAAACCAAAATTTTCACACATTGTTTTTCAGGTTTCAGTGATCCATTTATTAAAGTACGTTTGCTGCCCAGAGACAAATTTATACATGCCTCGAAACCAACAACATCAGTACAGAAAAAAACGTTGTACCCTTTATTTGACGAATGTTTTAGAATGTTAGTATTGTAATAGCTTACTACAGAATTTGTAATGTAGGTAACTTATTTTGTTATTATTTTGATTACAGTCATTTAACTCCTCAACAACGTGCTGAAGAAAATGGTTTAGTTATGTTTATAGTGAAAGATCAAGATTTCATGGGAGTGACAAATGAGTTTGTATCTGAAACATTTGTACATTTTAAAGATATTCCATCTACACAGTTGGAAAATGACTTGGGTAGTGTACCTCAAATAAGATTAAAGCTGACGTCTCCTAAAACTTTAGGTAATTATCAGTAAATTAATTTCGTATATTTAATGGGACATTATGTGCCGTATGGGCATAAATACTGTTATTAATATGTATTTATTTTATTAAACATTATAGATACAAAAATTCTTCGAGCTCTTGATTCTAGACCTACAGACAAATTGGCAAAAGAATTTCTTAAGAGAGAAAAAATAAAAATTGCTGCAGCAAATTCTACACCGAAAAAATGACTACAGTCTATTATTGGACGAATTAAGCGCAATACGTCCACATTGACACGGAAAATTAAAAATTCATTTTGATTTGTTGTATAAATAAATTAAGATTTCAAATTTATCAAAAAAATTATAATGTAAGACTGAAGTAGGGATGACATTTTTTTTACATATTTTAAATTTAAATACAGCGCATGGCTGTGTTACAATATAAATAAATGATTTTTAATGATTAAGTATAAACTATTTAATATGTAAATGATTTATAATTAATTTTATACTATATATTTATATTTATTAATTATCTTATTATATTTGGTATAGATATTGTATTAAATTATAGCAAATAATTGGGGCAATATTAACTCAATAGATAAGTACTTATAACAAATTTGTATCAATAAATTGAACAAATATTAATTTTTAATAATACAAATTGTGTTTTATTTAAAACATTGGTTGATAAAGCTTAATGTATATGAACACTTTCTTACAAATAGGTACATTATAATTAAGTGACTGTGCACACATTTGACAGATAATACTTACCCTGTGTATGTTAAGTTGACAATAATTCAATTTTTTTAATTAAATAGTAATAATTATTCAGTAAATAGTAATAAAATTATTCAATTGAGCCTCGTTGAACTGAAAACAATTTACAAATCTGTCCCTGTTGGTGTACATAATACTCGCAAGGTGAAAAAAATTAAATTAATTGATAGGTAGATACGAGAGTAGATAATATGTAAAGATAATAAATAACAAGTACAAGGTAGGTATACAGAAAAAAAAATATTTAATATAAAATGGGTCCAAAAAAATATATATACAAAAATTACATTCAATAAAAATATATTAGAAAAGAAAGTACGTTTATACTCTGTCCCACGAGAGAACATGCCGGTTCTGTGCATCCCCCCCACGTCACCCTGCTGTCAAAACCGGCTCCCCTATGGTAGGGTGTCGCGTGGTGACAGAAAAACAAATTTTGGTCAGGCCACGACATGATCTCACGTGGGACAGAGTATAATGAAATTCATTTTTATACATAAATATATGCTTAGCCACAATTATTTTTAAAAAAATATCTGATTTACACAAAGTATAAAAATAGTGTAATTATATTTTTACATAATTAAAAGTATACCTAAACTATTTAGAAATTAGAAATTCCATGAACAAGCAAATATGAGAGGCTGTATTATTAAGAGAATAATATATATTGCTTTAGCTTATGACCGGTATACCTGTAATCTACCTGGTAAATTGTAACATAAAAATCAAGTTAAGAATTTTAAATATTAGGTACAAGTTATAGGTACAGTGGTTAAAATTTTTCTAGATTATTAATAACTATTTGAAAAAGTTAAAACTCTAAACAATATAACGCCTTGTCATCTCAGGAAGTACAAAAGTACAAAACATTAGAATATAATAATAAAACAGGTGGTACCTACCTACTCCAGGTACACAAAAAAATTCAAAAATATGCATAAAAATACACTTAACCGTAATTGTTTTAAAAACATTATTTGATTGTACACAAGGTATAAAAATAGTGCAATTATACTTTTACATAATTGAAAATATACCTAAACTATTTAGAAATTAGAAATTCCATAAACAAGACAAACATGGGAGGTAGTTATTATTAAGAGAATAATATAATATATCGCTTTAGCTTATGACTGGTATAACTGTAATCTACCTGGTAAATTGTAACATAAAAATCAAGTTAAGAATTTTAAATATTAGGTACAAGTTATAGGTACAGTGGTTAAAATTTTTCTAGATTATTAATAACTATTTGAAAAAGTTAAAACTCTAAACAATATAACACCTTGTCATCTCAGGAAGTACAAAAGTACAAAACATTAGAATATAATAATAAAACAGGTGGTACCTACCTACTCCAGGTACACAAAAAAATTCAAAAATATGCATAAAAATACACTTAACCGTAATTGTTTTAAAAACGTTATTTGATTGTACACAAGGTATAAAAATAGTGCAATTATACTTTTACATAATTGAAAATATACCTAAACTATTTATAAATTAGAAATTCCATGAACAAGACAAATATGAGAGGCTGTATTATTAGGAGAATAATATATATTGCTTTACCTTACGACCGGTATACCTTTATCTATCTTGTAAATTGTAATATAAAAATCAAGTTAAGAATTTTAAATATTAGGTACAAGTTATAGGTAAAGTAGTTAAAATTTTTCTAGATTATTACTACCTATTTGAAATAGTTAAAACTAAGCAATATAAACCGTTGTCATCTCAGGAAATACAAAAGTACAAAACATTAGAATATAATAGTAAAATAGGTGGTACCTACCTACTGCAGATACACAAAAAAATTCAAAAATATGCATAAAAATACGCTTAACCGTAATTGTTTTACAAACATTATCTGATTTACACAAAGTATAAAAAAGCGCAATTATATTTTTACATAATTAAAAATATACCTAAACTATTTAGAAATTAGAAATTCCATAAACAAGACAAACATGGGAGGTAGTTATTATTAAGAGAATAATATAATATATCGCTTTAGCTTATAACTGGTATACCTGTAATCTACTTGGTAAATTGTAACATAAAAATCAAGTTAAGAATTTTAAATATTAGGTACAAGTTGTACGTACAGTGGTTAACATTATTCTAGATTATTACTACCTATTTGAAATAGTTAAGACTAAGCAATATAAACCGTTGTCATCTTAGGAAATACAAAAGTACAAAACATTAGAATATAATAGTAAAATAGGTGGTACCTACCTACTACAGGTACACAAAGAAATGTATAAATATTTTTTTCAAAAATACATTGAAATAAGTATGCTAACAAATCTTTTTTACTCACAATTCGTCCTTTTGATTATTTTTTTGATTAACAGGAAATGCCCAAAATTCATTTGGTAGACCGTTTGAATCTCTCTCGCGTTTTACAAAAGCACTGAATGAAGATATACAATTGCCAATAAAATAATCCGCCTTGCCTAATATTGCAAGATCCACGTGCGGATTATCTCTATCGTATTTTACAGTTTTCAGATCAAAACTTGATAATGCATGTGAAAGTTCAGGGATTAGATGATTGTTGTCGGATGCTACGAACACCGTACTTATGTCTTTGCCATATTTCCGAATGAGTCGTTTGAGTTGTTTCACAACTGTTTCAAACGTTGGATAGCATAATTCTTCCGTTGCTTTTCCATATTCATTCCTGTAGCCCAAGCACTGTGGAGCTGAGAACAACAAAGAGTTTTTGGTGATATGTTCGCAAGCCCTGACCCAATCAATACCATTGCGCAAGTGGATGCCAATAAATTTGCCAGGCTTAATTCTACTATTTATAAAAGAGTTTGCCAACTTATCTATTTCGTCATTCCATTTTAAATACTTATGAATGTCTACATTTTCTTTTTGAATTGGAAAACTTGCTGGAGCGCCAACAAATGCCAACACCGGCCATTCGGATGGTGGATACTTCTCGTGCCATTTTGACACCATATCGTGATGGTAAACATCGTAGTTCAGGGGGGCATAAAATTCAGAAGATGAAAAATCGACGCCGTACGTATCCCAAAACGATTCAAAAGGGTTCCCTGCTTTGGCATTACATCCTTCCGACTCGCCTCTTTGCATATAGCAAAATGATGTTCGACTTGCTGGCGGCCATAAATCGTTTGAATGTTTAGCCATAAAGTCATTCATTAACTGGACTCTGTGATATTCCAAAAGTGGATCTACTTTGAAGTATGTATCAAACGGAATTTGTACAGACTTTTGCTGGCCGTAGCGGTATTCAATCCAATGAGGTAACAAGAGTGTGCGATTCAAAGCTTTGGCAAAGCCAATGGCTCCCAGAAAGTGGTCGGCTTGGTTTCCGAAACGACCCATACACGGGCAGTAGGCTATGTAACCGGAAGGATCATGGGTGATTGCATGACACACAAAATTCGAAAAATGCATAAAACCAAAGAATAGGAGTAACAGAAAATCAGTGGCCATGTTCGATTGAAATTATAAGTGGAGAGAACTCAAACGGACAACTAGATTTAAAAAAAAAAATACACTACATTACATTCAAACTAAATACAAGTAATGAACTTACTTGGCTTACAATTTATTGAAAAACGTAAGCGCATAATAATAACGACTGGAAATTTATTTGCCCGTTATAAAGTCGGTTTACAATATTTTCGAAAACAATTTCGGGGATTTTGATAACGGCAAAACTCGGTGATAACGTCCGAACGGCCGCGGTGAAAACCACAGATCGCGGAACAAAGACGACGGAGTTTTTTTCGCTCGTCACGCTGGTCACACTGCAAAGTTCAATGGCACGACGGGCGAAGTAGGAACTAAACGATATGATAAAAGTGCGGAACTCACTTCGTCGAACTTCGACTGGTTAGTAGTAAATAATTTGCCAAATATTTGGCAATTAAAATCATGAAGTCGAAAACTGCCAATGACTTGTTGACGCACACTTCACAGTAATGGCTATTTTTTTTTGAACAGATAAATTATTTTAATCGAAAACTGTTGTCCCGCGCATCGTAAAAATGTCTTCGAAAGCCGAAAAAGACAAACAGAAACAAATACAGGATAGATGTCTGTCACTGCTGAACCAAATGTTGAAGGATGACGACAACAAGTACTGTGTGGACTGCGATTCAAAAGGTAAGCGTACTTGACGAGCACAAAACGTTATTTTCAACGGCTAAATATCACCGTTTACACACTCAGGACCGAGATGGGCTTCTTGGAATCTGGGAATATTCCTGTGCATAAGATGTGCCGGTATCCATCGTAACCTGGGCGTGCACATCAGCAAAGTACGGTCTGTGAATTTGGATTCCTGGACTCCCGAACAAGTGGTGGTGTGTACACATTATTTATCTTCAGCGAGTATCTACATGTTTTTTTATTATTTTTTATTAATCAGTAAATTCTATAATTACAGAATTTGCAACAAATGGGAAACAGTCGAGCAAGAGCTGTATACGAAGCAAACCTACCGGATAATTTTAGACGCCCGCAAACTGATTCTGCATTAGAGGCATTCATTCGTTCAAAGTACGAACACAAAAAGTACATTGCCAAGGAATGGGTGCAGCCTCCATTACCCAAAGTAAAAATTTCATTAGTATTATTATTATTATTATTAGCGACATTAAACTACCTACCTATTGAAATATAGTTAACAAGTAGTTTATCATCAAAATTATTTCATTTTAGGTAGGTATATGTCCTTATAACTCAATTATTCCATAAATATGCTCGATAATATGCTTATCAGTACAATGTTAGGTATATCTAACCAGATGATAATTTTCCGCAAACATTTAACATTACAATATTTAAGTTAATTTTTTACAAATAATAAGGTTTAAGGTACCTATATTCAAATATAAACAACATAATTAAGAATTGTTCAATAATTAATACTATAATATATTATATAATTGTTGTACATTACATCTGTGACGGAAACATATATATTTTAACTCATTCACGGCCGAGAATAAATCCCAGCGCTCTTTGAAAAACCCACGGCTCATAAAATGGCTTTTAATATAAATCAGATTTAAAATATGAATAATAACTATCTGTTCGCCAACATTTTAATCCGCTGTAAAAGTCGTTAGAATAGGACCACCGAAAGCTTGATGTTTGTTAAAATCCCACATTATGAAAACAATAGTAATAATGTCACATATATGTGATACCAGTCCACCTAAAAGCACCCTCATGTGACAAATACATAGCACTGTCCTTGAATGTTTTAATAATAACTAATAATAACATCAATCACATTTCTAAGAAATTATTATGATCTAATGATTAAAATGAATTCATTACTGATTACCTGTGTATTTATTATCTTAGTTATATTATATTGGCATATGTAAACATTAAAAATAATAGTAATATAAAGTAATATACATCTACCTATATATTAATTAATAGTATTTTATAGTACCTATTAAAATGACACTATTCACTTAAATGGTTATTTTATATTTTTAGGTAAATTGGGATAAAGATTTAGAAGAAGAAGCTGAAAAACAGAAGAAAAAAAAGAGAGAGCCAAAACCTGGGTCAATTATGCGCAGTGTGCCTTCTATCGTGCCAAATCCATTACCTAAACCTATTTCTTTAAGCCCAAAATTATCATCAAACAAGAAACCAGTTTCAACCGATACAAAACATTCCACTGATCTTCTTGGTTTGGGTACATAATTTAATCTATTCTAAAATGATTCATAACTTTTTAACTATTAATACATTATTACAATACAGATACTCCTACAAAAGATTCAAACCCTACATTGATAGATACGTCCTTCACATCTTCCAGTTCAGATTCAACAGATCCGTTCAGTAGTTTTTTAAGTGCATCTGTTTCTTCTACTACAACTGCTTCTCCCCAAATTCAACAAACAATTGATCCAATGATAGGCCGTTCCACTGAAGAGGAAAACTTTTTCAATCAACCAACGGCTACAAAAAATAAACTCACTACCGATTCTATTTTGGCATTATATGGGAAAACATCATCCCCTAATAACATGGCTGCAAGCCAGTACACAAGTATATAACTTTCAAATACAATATTGTGTTTATATTTAAAACATTTTTTTTTGTCTTAGGTCAAAATAATGGTTTTGTTCCTCCTCAGCCGCAACAACCATTGTTCAATGCTTTCAATCAGAATGGATTTCAAAATATGCAATCCATCAATAATCTTGTATGCTTATTTATAAATAATTAATTAATTACTGTATTTTAACTATTTGTTTTATTTTTAATTTAGGGAAATTCTATCAATTTGTTATCCAATAACTCTATTGATTTTAACAATCTGCAGTCATCAACAAATTCTAATTTTGCGTCTAATCCATTTTACAGTATGGCTGCAAAAAATGCACCAACTCAATTTATTAATCATGTAAGTGATTTATTTGTTTTAGTTTATTTGGTTTATTGAATTTTTAAGGTTTTAAGTAAAAATTATTAGTTATTTTATCAAATGCATTTGTTTAAATAATATTAGGAGTAATATAGTACTACTCCTGTTAGTTTTTACTTTACATGCTGTGTAGAATATTATTTTATACAAGAACACAATAATTATGATTGTTAAGAGGACGCCACACCCGTGTGTATTGTCTCCGTCTTACAATCATGAAACATAGCACATAGCATTCAGTAGTTCCGTTGCTATGCAGTAACCTTTAATAATACAGTGAATTGATGTATTATCAAACTTAGAGATAAGATAAATATATGCGTTTTCTCGTGGGGTTTTTATTTTAATGAAGTTATGAGTTGTTAGTTGCATAGTATACAATATTACAATTTAAAAATTAAAATATAAGAAACACAAGAAACCACAGAGTTACCTTTAAGTTTGATAATAGGTCGATTCACTCTAATATTAAAGGTTACTATATGAAATTGGATCTGCTGAACACAAATTTGCTATGTTGTATGTTTGACGGAGACAACATATGCTGGTGTGGTATCCTTTTAAAATGAATAAACATTCATAAGTATCTTAAACATTTAAATATTATTTAAAGTATACATTTTTTCTTAGTATACCTATAATTTATTTATTTTCTTAATATTTAGATTGTTTAAAATTAAAAATGCATTGATCAGTTTCACTTTATTGTCTGTATAATAAATAATAAACAGATACAATTAAATTAATGTTGATATCCTATTAAAAATATTAACTATTTAAAATTTAATTTTACTATCAAAATAAATGTATTCCTTTTGTATCTTAAAGTACAAATTAATCAGCTGTAGTATATTATACTCATACTTATTTAGTACATTGTTTTGTTTCATTTTAATACTTGATACACAGATAACAAGCAATTATGCAAATAATACTACAAAATCATCACATAACAATTCTAATTAAATTGCACTCCTTATAAATTATAATACATCATGTGTCATAAGGAGATAGGCTTATAAGCAAAAGTGCAAATAGGTGTAGAATTGGGGGGCTTATCCCCTCTTAGAATTTCTATAGCCACCCCCCAAAAAAAATTTCATTTCACTTCTATAATTTAAAAGCATCATAAGAGTATCAATTATAGACCCCCAAAATTTCAAACACTATTTACGCCTGTAATCGATGCTTGGCTATAACTTTAAATTATCTATGAGTAGTACTTAATTATTAACTCATAAACAATATTATATACACATATTTATTATTATTGATTTAAAAAAAATGTTTGCTGCATTGCCAATTTGTTACAATACATTTATATTTTTACATTCAATACTTTAAAATTAGATGAAATTAAAAATAAATAAATAATATATTACTTATATATGTGGATTGTTAGTTGAATGTGTCTTATTCATAGACAATATTTTTGATCTGTTTAGGTTTAACAAATAATCTTATAATATCATTTTTTTTGCTCAATAATTTAAAGCACAAAACACAAGAAATAAGTTTTTTTAATTTGAAAGAATGTTAAATTTTAAGAAAAATGGCATACATTTAACATTTCTACTCTCATTATTTTATAAATTACGAGAAATTAAAAAAGACGCTTGGCGTCACTCCCTAATTTTTTATGGTATACATGTAAAAGTTGCTTTGTTCACACAATAATTTATTTACCTATAAAATATATTTTAGATTCGGAGTGAAGCGATTGCATGAGCATTGATTTTACAATGGTGTGTGTAAAAAATTCCTAATAGTTTTTGAAAGGGCATTCAGTGCAACTCAAATTTAATACCATACATTATACCGTGACCCACTTCTAACCTACTGTACAGCAGATCGACATCCACTGACCCACCTTTTTGAATTTTGTTGTATGTATGTAATGTGTTTTTATGCACTGAAGACGTTGGTAGGACTAGCTTTTGCCTAGTGTTTAGTATTTTTAAAATATTTAAAATCTTATAAAAAAATGTTCGTTACTTATGAACAACCTGCATTTGATGTCACGTCTTACACGTATGGCATAGCAAAAACTATTTTGCGCGGAAAAGAACCGACAAGGCTAAAGTTATAACTAAGAAACAACATTTTCACCACATATAAAAGAGAACTTTGTCTAGCAATATCGTTTTTATTTTTTTGAAATCACTTTAACTAAAAAAGTTCTTATTGTTTCAAAATCCATTATTATTTGTGTTTTTTTAAACTTTAATAACCCGATAACGAAAAAATGAAAACTAAAATGCACAGCCATAGTTCTCCTCTATATGTGGTGAAAATTTTGTTTCTTAGTTATGACTCTACCCTTCTAGGTTCTGTCCCTCACAAAATATTTTTCACTATGCCGTACTTGTGTAAGACGGAGAAAACAAATGCGGGTGAAATGTCCTCTTATGCCCGGTGATAGCAGCAGTCACTTATCGCGACATGACAAGGCGCAAGGGGCTATTATCTTCTTTAGTATTTTTAATATTTAAAAAAAAATAAATGTTATATTACAATTCTGAATTGTCTTTAGCTCAGAAAGTCACTCATTTATACATAAATCAATCATCAAAAATACAATTTTTAGATAGGAAAATTATTGTTTAAAGTGAGTAAATTTTGCACATATAAAATAAGCAATTATATTTAGTCCGGCTCAATGACATCACCCGCTCATTTTAAATACCTTAATATTTACATTGAATTTTGATCAAATAATTTTTAATAGTTCTAATTACCTACTATAGTTTAATATTCAATAATAATTTGAAAAAAACATTATTTTGTGTTAAGGGCTCTTTGAATACTCAATACAACATACAATTTTCAAATTGTTTATACACGTTTATGGTCTTCTGATTATTAATCTGCACAGTTTTATAAATTAATAATTTTTCAAAAGATTGTAACAACTATTGATTTTTTTATGCGTGTGGGTGTTGTGTGTCCACAGTGACTCACTTGGACGTATACCGTAAACTTCATGTACCTACCTCCTTATGAATAAATGCACTATTACATTGTTTTAACCATAAACATTTGCTTAACCAGTAATGAAGTCACAATAAATTGCTTAAACCAAACAAATAATTCTGTAAGGCAGTAGAACTATTACTAGTAATTTAAAATTTTGCATACTTATTACTTACTATTATAGTATAATACTATAATCATGCTTATTTACTTGTAGCTAATACCCACACAATTTTTATTTGTAAATACACTTTTAGGAGAGCCCTGTAGTGAAAAATAATCAGTTTGCAGCATTTGATTCTCCAAATGATTCGGTTCATGTGAGTAAATTTACTGTAAGATAATAATATTTAATGATTAATTAACTATTTTTTTAACAAAAAATCTATATTTTCAGTTGCCTCAACAAATGGCTATGCTGAATTTGGGGCACCCAACAACGGCTCCGTCAACTGTCAATGGCTTTACAGACCTTTCTAATGGATTTACAGACCTTTCTAATGGATTTACAGACCTCTCTCATGGCTTTACAGACTTCTCTAACGGCTTTACGGACCTTGCCAAGCAATCACAAACTGGCCAAACGCTTTCACCTAATTTATGGCAGTAGTTACAGCTTGTCGATTGTTCACAATCGTTTTAAATTAAGTTCAAGTTGAATTGAAATACTTTTTTATTGGAAACATGTATTTTTAATTGGAACTCGTAAATTATGAGACGGTACATTTACATTTTTTGCGTATTTATAACGCTCTGCTTTACCTATATACTCACGGAACCGTCCATTAAATGGAGCTCGGCATGTAAATAAACTTATCGAAGTAAACCATGCATCTTAAATGTCTAAAATTATCCAATGTTCTATTTTAAATAAATAAATTTATGATTACTCTTTAATGATAATTGATTGGTTTACAAATTAATGGGATAATTGTATTTCAATGAATTGCACTATAATTGTACACTTGTACGAAACATTCATAAAATTATCATATTATCGTGAACCTCTATTATGCAGTGTGTCAGCGACAAAGGCATTAAAAATATTTATTATAATTATGTACACATTTTTAATCAATTACCTATATCTATATATAAATTTGTATTTTATTATTTATGAAATGAACCAGAGCAAAAGTTATTCAAATTAAATTAATTACATTAATAAATAGGCTCTGGTAAAATTGTTTTTTTTTTTTTAGTGTGGATTTGTTCAATTTCATATTGGTGATTTACAAAATATGAAATATAATAAAACTATTTTATTAGTCATAATTGATATTTAAGTTTTTGTGCAATTATATGAAATTTATAATATAATTAGATTTGTAACTTATCAGATTGTGTTTATTATTATGTTTTTTTTTTTTTATTAAAGTCAAGTGAACCATCACTATAATAGCTACCAGATGTGTAATTACTACATCGACTCCTATTGAAAACAAAAATTAGCACAAGATGACACTAGACCCATAGTATGTGCAGTTGTTTCCGTCATACAAATTTACATAATAAGGTATAGTAGCAAATTATAAAAAATTATAATAGAAAATTTGCATACAGTAGAATATATTTTGTATTATAAGTTACAAATCTATTTGAATACTTTTAAGTATAAAATAAAATACTGTTTTCTATAAGTATTATTTAAATATTTAACAAGCATTTGGTTTCAGTAGCTTATTTCTTTACGATTACAGGGGCATGAACCTCCCTATAAACCCCCCACCTTTGTAGATAGATCACTGTATGGTTTCACAATTTCAGTGTTAATAAATTGGCCTTTATCAAATTTAAAGGTAAAAATAGTATCCATAGGGGCCTAGAGCATCCCGTATTCACTTAATGTCTTAATAATAACTAATATTATAATCTTAAAGTGAGTTATACGGTATAACTTATTAACTATGTAGAATATTCAAACTTTAAAATGCATATAACTCACTTTAAAATTTAAGTATCAATAAAATACTATAGGATGCCCTCCCTATAGAACATTTCTTATGTTGTTCCTATTTTTGTAAGAGGTAGAGTGTGAGCAACATACTGTTGTAAGGTTCCTAATATATTGTTTCAAAGACTTATTAAGAATCCGTGGTCACAATATTTTTTCGACAAAATACGTAATATCACGAAAATGTGCAAATTATTTTGTGTTAAAAATTCATAAAAAATGTTTTATTTAAATTTAAAATGTAATAAAAGATTCCTCATAAGTTTGTCTACCTTTATCAAAAAAAAAAAATTTCTACAAGCAAATCAAATTTAATTTTGATGAGTGTTTGAAGTTCATATTTTTACAACATTGGTTATTCACTCGATTTCTCATGTAGCGATTTTATTATTTTGTTTTAACTCAAAAATGAATAACTGTAGATCCATGAAAATTTCACCGAATGTTTATATTTTCATTTTCTATACACCGTACAATTTTGAAAATATTTTGACTCAGCTGTTTACGGACATTGTCAGTTTTGAAATTTTTTTAGTTTTTTTTTCTATAATTGTCAATAAAATGTTATTTGTTCGGTAAAAATTAGTGAACATTTAATATAAGGCTCCTGATGTATTGTTCCAATAGCAGTGGAAAAACATTAAAAATACATGGGCACAATTTTTTTTTAGAAGCATTTGAAGTTCGAATTTTGACAAAATTTATCACTTTTAAAGTTTAGCTATTGTTTTGAAGTTGAATATGTATACAGTTTTCAACTTTTAAAGCTAAAGATTGAAAATTTAAAACAAGGTTCTACGTTAATAGCTTATATATTATATAAATGGCTTTATTCTCAATAATATCATCAAATATACCTACTTAGTAATATCATATGCTGCAGACTGCACGTTTTAGGACAGTAAAAGTGCTTGGATTTTCTTAAACAGTAGCTTTTCTGATAGGAAAGTGAATCTAGTTGGTACTTTGGGTGGTCAAAAGTGAAAATTTCTCAGTAGTTTTCACAAGCGCCGGGAAAAACAACATAAAAATTAAGGGAAAACAGGAATTTTTACGCAAAATCGGTTTTCCAAAAAATCGATTTTGGTTTATGGGGTAACTCTAAAACAAATGAACGTATATACATGAAATTTTCACTAGTTGTTTATGTTTGAATTTTCTATACACGATAACATTTTCAAAATATTTTGAACTGTTAAGGCACATTTTCATTTTCCATTTTTTTTTAGTTTTTTTTCTAGAAGTATCAATCAAATTTTATTTGTTGGTTGCGACAGCTTGAAAATTTAATAGAAGGTTCCTAGTATATTGTTTCAAAGGCAGATGAAAAATATTAAAAATCCTTATTCACAATTTTTTTTTTATAAGCATTTAAAGTTCAAAAATTGTAAAAATATGGAAAAATCACGAAAATTAGTGAATTATTTTGAGTTAAGAATTCGTAAAAATTTTTCTTTTTAAATCTAAGATTTGAAAATGTAATACAAGATTACTCATAAGATTATCTAACTTCATCAAAACAGAAATATCTATAAAAATTTCAAATTAAATTTTTATGGGCGTTTGAAATTCAAATTTTTACAACATTGGATATTCACTCGATTTCTCATGTAGCGATTTCTTTATTTTGTTGTAAATCAAAAACGAATAACTGTAGATACATGAAAATTTCACTAAATGTTCAGATTAGAATTTCCTATACACTATAGTACTATACAATTTTGAAAATATTTCGACTCTTTTTGAGCTGTTTACGGACATTTTCAGTTTTCAATTTTTTTTTGGTTTTTTTTTTTCTATAAATATCAATAAAGTTTTATCTGTTGGGCCAAAAAGTGTAAAAATTTAATGCAAGGCTCCTGATATATTGTTACAATAGCAATTAAAAAAAAATATTAAAAATACATTTGCACAATTTTTTTTTATAAGCATTTAAAAATCGAATTTTGACAAAATTTATCAAAATCTCGAAAATTATCAATCATTGTAATTAATAAATTATAAAATGTTCAGTTTCTATAGCTAAGGATTGAAAATTTAAAACAAAGGTTCTCATAAATAGTTCATACTGTAACCAAAAAATCTAAATAATATATGAACACAGTTATTTTTTACAGACATTTTAAATTCAAATTTGGACGAAATTACATAATAAAAAACCTAGAATAACTATTTTAGTTATTTTGTTGCGATTGTATAATATTATTCGTGGGTACTTGAAACTTCTAAAGTGTACTATTATATATCTATGATAGTATCAGGGTTTGTTGTTGGTGTACCTACCTATAACGCGTTATAAGTACCTAATGGATATTGTGATATGATTAATTTGGAATTCATTATAGGTCAATTTTTTTAATACCATCATAGATAAGTATATATAATATGTCTTATACCTAGAAGGGCATACCGTCTCCGTTCAGAATCGTTTTTCTTATACAATGATATAATATCATTGAATTCAAATGTAATACCATCCATTATACAGTGACTCACTTGTAACCTACTGTACAGCAGAGCGACACCCACCTGTCCACCTTTTTTTAATTTTAGATTCGGTGCACAGTGACGAACATATTGATTTTGTGTTGTCTGGAGACACTTTCCAATATAAAAATTAATACGGCCCTTATAGTGAGTTATAATGTCTTGTTGGGTAGATTTTTTATTAAATATTGTATGTAGGGTAGGTACTATAGACGTAAATAGGGGCATTCTGAGCCCAAACTCATTAATTAATCTAACATTTTAGGCAGCCTTAGTGGAGGGTTATATACCTACTTGGTATTCAATTTTAGTATCGTACTATCGTGTGTTGGCTACAAACACAATATAAACATTAAACAAACGAGCACAAACAAGTTATTCATATTTAACATTGTAATAAATAATAGATAATATGCTGGCTGAATAGTATGCTACCACCTAGTAATTCATTTTCTTATTGATTTTATTACCGTTTTAATTTTGTTCGAAATAAATTTGTATAATAATATTATGCATCAGTTTTTACTTTCGTTAATAATATTTATATTTTTCCGATTTCTGCTGTTCTAATTTTTAATTTCTATAAGTTTTCCGGTATTATTTTGAACTTTCTCTAGTTTATTTTCGTTCTTGAAGAAAAAGTTCTTTTTGTTTCCAACATAAAGCCATTACGCCTTTTTAGTTTCATAGACGTCACTGCACATCAACAATGAATGCAATTATTGGCAAAGGAATATTGAAAGGATGATATCTCGGAGCACAGATCTGAAATAATTACAATATGCACCTACAATGTTTCAACACCGTTAAATTTTATGGAAAAGTCCAAAGTGGCGGCGAGTAAGGAATCATTTTGATATAAAAGTTGATCGGCGCAGCTTTCAGAGATGCCTAAACCAAGTAATATTATTTGATGTACTTATATTGTAAAATGTAAATATTACAGGGCTGGATTTAGACTTTTGGAGACCCGAGGCCAATCTTTTTTCGAGGCTCCAGCGGTAAAAAAATTTAAAATATCTAAAAAGTTGAGGAAATAAATTAAAATTGTATAAACTTGCAGTACATAATAACTATCTACCTAAAACGTGATTATTTCAAGTCTAAAAAACCAGTGTTCGTGTATCACAAATTTCTAAATCAATTTAAAGATAGCAATATTATAATAA